AGGGCGGGATGCGGGCAACGGGGCTGGCCAAGGGAGATTGGGAGGAGAAGCAGGGGGGACCTGGCTGCCCGGGAGGGAGTTGGGGGAAGTGGGGCTGGCCAGAGGCGCAGCAGGGGGAGCAGGGGGGAGGAATGAATCGGCCTGCGGGGAGTGGGACTAACCCGGCCATATGTAGATCTTGGGACGCTGCCCCAGTTCCCCCCTCCCCACCACAAAGCATGAGTTAGTCCAGCCCGGGGATTCTATTGTCCCCCCACACACACACACACACACCCCTCAGGTAGTTGCAAACTGGCTGGCTGGTAGACACACTCATACAGCCTGAGCACATTTACCAGCCAGGCAGTTCAAAACTACAAACTGGTACATCTAATAATAATACAACTTACCTAATGAGAAAATACCAGACATGTTATATGTCTGGTATTTTCTCAGTTTGTTTTTTATGTGTTTATATTTTTGGGCTGCAAAAAACAGTATTGAAAAAAAAAGGGGGGTTCCAACTAAAGTAAAAAGTTTGGGAAACCCTGGTCTAACCAGCTTTGTCTGTTTGTCTTACAGTCCATTTATCCAATCCATGTTCCTTAACTTACTGGCAAGAATATTGTGGGTGACCATATCAAAAGCTTTGCTAAAGCTGGCACTGGGGGTTTTGGGAGGACCAGAAACAACTTATTTGAATATTCATTATTTGATTAATGAATATGCAAATGAACATTACCGGTCCTCCAAAAGTTCGTGAATGGATTTACTGGTCCCCGTGTCAAAAAGTTTGGGAACCCCTGCCCTAAATGGTTAAAAAATTGTAAGCGGAAATCTTACATGACCCAATAGAAGTCCTTGCCAACCCAAATGATTCTTTAAAAATTCTGAAACTTCTTATCTATAATATATAAAGGAGAATGTTTGTATGTTTGTGCTTTAATAACTTGGACACTATACGACCTACCGCAACCATACTTTGCATGGGATAACCTTTAATCCAGGAGAAGGTTTTAAGGTTCTGCGGGAGGGAAGAGATGAGAGACCGACGCCTTGCCGTGGGGCTGCACGGAGCTTGGCAGTGCGGGGAGAAGCAGTTTCCCGGGGAAGCAGCAGGGAAGTCACTCACTAAGGCCGGCGGAGGGACAAGGAAGTGGAGGGTGGGCTCAAGCGCTGGAGGCAGGAGCACGGCTCCCTTCCCTCTTCCTCCCCTCAGGGCCTCACCTCAGTTATATCAACTTTCCCGAGCAACGCCGGGTAACTCCAGCTAGTCAATGAATGTTGTTGAGATTTCTTAGGCATCCAACAATATAAATAATTGCACAATGTCCCTTATCGTATTGGAAAGGGAACCAGAAACACTACTGGCATCAAATAGACCTACAAAAGCTATCATGTCTGTGTGCACATACAAAACAGAAACTGATTATCTATTTTTAAGCAGGCACATTGAGGGGACATTTTTGTTGTTTTAATTTGGGGACGGGAAATAAATTTCATTTTTTCCTAATTTTTGTTATACATTGTTTAATAGTGATAAGTGACTCAATGCGAGAGGATTATAAGACAGTGATGGGCAACAAAAATTGATGAATGGGCTGCACGAGTGGCCCTCCTTCGTCTCAGTGGGCCACAGTGGTGGGTGGACTATGGCTCATTGAGGTTCCAGCTACAGTCCATGCACCTCCTGGCTGCCGCCCCCCTCCTGTGCCTCTCACGCACCAGAGTCCCAGACTTCCTACTCCTCCCCTCCCTTCCCAGCACTTTTGGAGTGCCATGAATTTGCCAATTTGCGCTCCATCCCCACCTGTCTCCCTCTCTCTCAGAGCTTGAAAGCCATGAATCAGCTGTTCACAGCTATTCAAGGTCTGGGAGGAAAAGGGAAGAGTGGGGCTGGAATGCTAATCTGTGGATTCATTGTGTTCTGAAAGTGCTGGGAGGGAGAGGAGTAGAAAGTGTGGGGCATCAATGCCCAATTGCAAGAGAGGCACGTAAGGAAGGTGAGCAAACAGAGAGGGTGCACGGGCCATAGCTAGAACCTAGTGGGCCACATGAAGCCTGTAGGCCACGGGTTATGTACCACTGTTATAAAGAATGCAAAATGAGCAAGGATGCAATGCTAGTGGCTCTAGATATTTGCTATGGTGACTTACATGGGAAGCAAGGTAGACGAGGCAAAAACTAACCCATCCAATGCTCCTTTAGAAAACTCTCTAATTACCATTAAGGATTTTTTTAATATCCTGAAATCTCTCTGCTTAGGTATTATCCTCTCATTCAGTTGTATCTGGCTGCCATATTTCAGACAATTTTTGACAACAATAGCTGAGTATATGGAAGATGCTGCCTATCATACAGTCAAGTTTTGTCACAATTGTTTCCAGCCAAGATCTGATTGCCCCCCTCTATCGTACTGGAAATGCACAAGATAACCATTTTATGGACGTTTAACTCAAGGATCTTGGTGTTTCTGTGTTCTTACAGAAAATCTGATCTACAGTTCTTCTGGTGTACCAGTGACAAATTTGTCTGAAGAGTTATAGTTGAAATCTCTGAGCTGGTATCAGCATTGTTTAAGGTATCTGGTATTATTGCAATTGAGAATTTCATCAATGTCAAGGAATGTGTTCTATCTAAGGCATAGTGCATCCACTTTCAGAAGAAGTTCATAAAAGCTCCCAGATAATAGACATTTTAGCACTTATTTTAGTTTCTAGAACTAACAATGCCCTAAGACATGCATCTGACGAAGTGGGTCTTTGCCAACGAAAGCTTATGCTCCAATAAATCTGTTGGTCTATAAGGTGCCACAGGACTTCTCATTGTTCTTGAAGATTCAGACTAACACAGCTACCCCTCTGATACTTAATGCCTTAAGTGTTGTAATTCTTGTAGGTTGCAAATACGGGACCTCCAAATCTGTGAACAATCCCACCAGAAGTGCTTTTTAGATAATAGTCCATGATTGAATAAAGCAAGTTCAAAAGGCTCAGAAAGTGTTATTTTCAGTTCATAAATCTACAAAATTGTCATTTTCTATCAAATAATATCACTGTCACCAAAACATCCCAACAATAAGGAAATGAAGTTTCTGCTGCCATTTTATAACACTCTGTATATAAGTAGTAAGACTTAACACTATACAAATCCCCAAAAGTATCTAATACATAATTTTAAGGTCATGGCTACTGGAACATGACAGTAAATACTAGTTGTTGAATTTGTTTGATTCACACTTTGTTCTTAATAGAAGATTTGATTCTCTTGCTCAGTGGCAAATCATAGAAATAAAGAAAAATGGCAATGCATTTCTCAGAGAAACTGGGTGGAAAACAAATAACTGTCTTGTGACTTTTTAATAAGGAATATAAATAGATCCAAGAAATGGATCTTGAATCTCTTATTCCAAAATACAAATTTTAATTCTTAAAGTTCTAAGTATTGCACAGAAATGTTAACAATGTAAACTGCATGAGCATTAGTAGGGTCTGCGCACTAAATCTTCATGCGTTCACCCCTTATTCATCGCAAGAGTCAACATTTGATGCTGTTCTCATTGCTGATATACCATATCAAGCTATCACAATGTGGCAGTTTGTAAGTTCTTCAGAACAGAAACTGTTTTTACTTCTGATTCTATACAGTACCCAGGCACCCTAATTGGGACCCCTAACCACTTTCATAATTTCATGACAACTGCTTTCTAAAGTAGGCTCATGTTACTTGAGATGTTGCTCTTTTTGAGGCAATGTGGAATTGACGATGACTAATGAAACATTCCTCACATTATATTCCTTAATTAAAACTAGCTTGTTCACCTCCATAAAATCCTCTAAATTCTCCTCTGCATCTGCTTTTTCAGTCATCAGTTTGGCAACCTTGAAATAAGTCTTCATGAGAAGATACCCCTTTTTTGCTCCATTCCAGTGAGAACGTGGAATTTCCACCAAACCATATCCCAACAACAACACAAGAAGGAACAGACCCCATGTGTTGGCAGCTGCTATCCCAATTGTCTGAAGCTGGTTCCTAAAACAGAAGAGAGACCTCCATGAATTCAGTTTTCACATATACAAAGATTAGTTTCCTGTCTGTAATTCTGTCTACTCTGAAAGGAAATCTACTACTCTGTCACGCTTGAAACTGCTAGTATTGTCTACATCTTCTAAGCCTCTGAAACAGGCTAGAGATTTCTCTTGCAGATTGACTATCTCCCATGCTGAAGCACTGTAAAGGTTGGATATCCACCACCAGGCTAGTGAAGTCCCTAGCTTTCCTTAACACGCTGCCACTGAAGATCTTGTGTACCATACAAAGACCAAGTTGGGAAGAAATGGAGAAGATGGCAAAGAAATCCTGAAACAAGAGCCATCAAGAAACCTCTGCCTTTAAAGAGCAATATGAGTGCAATTCCCCTGGTGCACCTACACACTGTGCTGACAGACAGATTATACTGGGGAAAAATAAAATATAAGAAACACCTTTTTCTTGTCTCTGAAGCTTAGAAGCCAGGGCATGAAGGAGAAAAGAATAAATCAGAAGACCCAGCAGCAAACCAGCCAGAGCAATAGACTACTGTGCTACAGCTAACGGTAGAGATTTACATTAATCGTGTGCTTAAAATAATCAATCATGATTAATCGTGCTGTTAATAGCATACTATTTACAATGTTCACATTATATTTATATTTGATTACAAACATATGTATTGTAAAAAAAACAAAAAAATAGTATTTTTCAATTCCAAGTACTGTAGTGCAATTTCTTTATCATACAAAATAATGTAAAAAATCCCTGCAATAAAATAAAACACTGTAAAATTTTAGAGTTCAACTTCTTGTTCAGCCAACCACACAAACAAACTTGCTTACATTTGGGGGAGATAATGCTGCTCTTTTCTTAATTACAATGTCACCTGAAAGTAAGAAGAGGGGTTTGCATGATACTGTTGTAGCCAGCATCACAAGGTATTTACAAACCAGATGTGCTAAATATTAATGTGTCCCTTCATGTTTTGACCATCATTCCAGAGGACATATATCGATGCTGATCACAGATCCTACTCAATAATGGTCCAAAGCAGCACGGACCACCCATGTTCATTTTCATCATCTGAGTGAGATGCTGCCAACAGAAAGTTGATTTTCTTTTTTGGTGCTTTGAGTTCTGTAGTTTCTGCATTGGAATGTTACTCTGAGACTTCTGAAAGCATTTAATCCCTCATCCCCCTCATATTTTGGAAGACATTTCAGATCTTGAACCTGGGGTCAAGTCCTACAGCTATCTTTAGAATCTCACATTGGTATCTCTTTTGTGCATGTATCAACTCTGTAGTAATAACGTTCTTAAAACAACATGTGCTGAGTCATCACCTGATATGGCTGTAACATGAAATGTGTCAGAATGCATATAAAACTGAGCAAGACACAAAGTTCTCCTCCAAAGGAGTTTGGTCACAATTTAATTAACAAATTTTTGTAACAAGCGTCATTAGCATGGAAGCTTGTCATTTGGAAAACTGTCCAAAGCATGAAGGAGCGTACAAATATTTAGTATACTTGGCATGTAAATACCTTGCAATGCTGACTATAAAAGTGTCAAGTGAATGTTTGATCTAATTTTTAGGAGACAATGTTGGTAAGAAGCAGCAACAATATCTCCCATAAATGTAAACAAATGTGTTTGTCTAAGTGATTGGCTGAACAAGTAGAAGAACTGAGTGGACTTGTGGGCACTGAAGTTTTACATTCTTTTGTTTTTCAGTGCAGTTATGTACCAAAAAACAAAATAAATCCCTACATTGTAAATTACACTTTCAGGATAAACAGCTTGTACCACAGTACTTGTATTAAGTGAACTGAAAAATACTTTATTTTGTTTATCCATTTTACATTACAAATACATGTTATAAAATTATAAAGTGAGCACTGTACACGTGGTATTCTGTGTTGTAATTGAAATAAATATATCTGAAAATGTAGAAAAAGCAAAAACGTTTAATACATTTAAGTTGGTATTCTATTTTTTAACAGTGCAATTAAAATGTTAATTATGATTAATTTCAGTTAATTCTATGAGTTAACTGTGATTAATCAGCAGCCCCATATTGATTTCTATTATTTTCCATGAATTCAAGTATTTTTAATGCTAGCAAGTTTCTTTGTGAACACATTCCAAAATTTGAAAAAATATTGACATCATCCATTTCAAAGTTAATTGCAGATAAAGTCCCAGATCAAAAATTTAAACGTGATCCCAGGAATGTTTAAACAGACAATATTATCATAAGCCTAACAACAGTCTTCTTAAAACACCCTGACCAATAAAAGTTTACCAGAAAAAACAACATTAGAAAGAAAATGTTGCAAATCAAACTAAATTATATACAAAATACAAACACACACACTTTTCCTGAAAAATTAATAAAAGTAGTAATATGTTCAGGGAAAGCCTAGAGCAAGGGTGGCTCTTCCCTGCCCTCACAAATTCAGAATTCTAGATTAGCTTAGCACTGCCCAACTTCTCTATTGCAGGTGTATTGTAGAAATACAAACTCATTTTTTAAAACAGACTAATACTTACACAACAGTACTGCTCTTACCATTGTAGATGGAAATTTGGATTTACAGCCACATATATTAAAAACGCTCCAAAAATCAGCAAGTAAGTGCCATAATAGATTGCATTCTCAATCAATGCAGTTTTAATCTTTCCAGTAATGGAGAACCCTCCTGATCTAGCATAGGACTGCATGAAAGGTAAGAGTATCCTAGAACGAAACAAAAATACATTAATGAAGTAAGATTTTTCCATCTTACCCTATTTGCCAATTTTCACTTGGTTGGGTAGAGTTCTCTCAGCAAAACCTACTGTCTATTACATTTGTGGTCTTTACAGATACATCTATTTGACAATAAGTCTTGAAATAATTTGTGTTTAGATTAAATATCTATTGGCATCTTTAAAAGGAAAAAGCACTATTGACTTTGTTCTTCTTAGTCACAGTTTCATATTAATATACTATTCAATGTATCTACATAAGGACATAAGAACAGCCATACTGGGTCAGACCAAAGGTCCATCTAGTCCAGTATTCTGTCTGCCGAGACTGGCCAATACCAGATGCCCCAGAGGGAGGGATCACAATAGGAAATCCTCACGTGATCCCTCACCTGTCATCCACCTCTGGAGAAACAGAGGCTAGAGATACCATTCCTACTCATCATAGCTAATAGCCATTGATGGACTTAATCTCCATGAATCTATCTAGATCCATGGTCACCAACCGGTCGATCGCGAGGCCTCGACCAGTAGATCGTGAGGCGTTCGGGCAACCCCACCCCCATTTTCCCCCCACTCCCGAGAAGCCCCACTATCTACCTTTAGTGTAGTGCCAGCTTCCCGCGGGGTGGACGGAAGTCCTCTCTGAAGCCTGCGTCACTTCTGGGGGTTCCGGAAGTGCGCGGGCTGCTCCCCATCCCACAGCTCTGTTGCGTGCTGGGGGAGGGAGCGTTGGCCCTAGAGGAGGAGTGCGGAGGCTTCCCTGCACCGCTGGCGCCGGAGGAGTGAGTTGCGTGCAGGGGTTTACCTGCGCCGTGGGAGTGGGAGTCGGCCCCGGGGTTTGGCCGCGCTGCGGGAGGGAAGGGAGTTGGACGGGCCAGGCTGGGCCGGGCCGTGGGAGGAGGGTTTGACCCCGGGGCAGGCGCCCGCGGGGGTTGGCCATGCTGCAGGAGGGGGTTGGCTGCGCTGCGCCACAGGAGCAGGGTTTGGCCCCAGGGCAGGTGCCCACGGAGGTTAGCCGCGCTGCGGGAGGGGAGGGGCCGGTTGCGCCACGGAATGGGGGTTTGGCCCTGCCGCGGGAGGAGTGGGGGTTGCCCCTGGTGCAGGCTCCCGCGGGGGTTTGGCCCCGCCGCAGAAAGGGGGGTTTGGCCCTGCCGCGGGAGGAGTGGGGGTTGCCCCTGGGGCAGGCTCCCGCGGGGGTTTGGCCCCGCCGCAGCCCCGGGACAGGCACGCTCGGGGTTTCCCTGCGCCGCGGGGGGCCCGGAGGAGGCATGTGCTGGCTTCCCCCAGAGGAATGGGGAGGGAGAGAGAGTCCTGGGAGGCGGCGGAACCAGGAGAA